CGGGTTTTTGTGAGCAGGTCACGGTTTATCCGGTCGAGGATGGTCTTGCTTATGAGTCCGGTTTCTGATTTTGATGGGTTTATGAGTCTGCAGCTTGTTTTATTTAGGAAGTTTTCTTTATAATCTTTGAGTGTTATAAAAGCCTCTTTTTCAGCAATGGTTTCCATTCGGTCCTCGATTTTGAGTTTTGTAGCAATTGCTTTGGCTACGTTGTTGATTTCGTGGGTGCTTCCTTCTTTTGCTTTCTCGTATGACGAGGTGATGTTCTCATGCATGACTCATAAACCTATATATATATATATGTATATGTATGAGTTAGAAAAAAAATATATAATATAAGTTACAACTTACTATTATCAACTGGTATAATAAATAGTAGACTTAGTGATAAAACTATAGAAATACCACCCAGTGTAACAAATGGTAATATAAATCCTCCAAGCTGAAAAATACAATATACCATATTAAAATGAGGTTAAGACAGGGCCCTTAAACAAAGAATACACTGCAACTACTGATGTTCCAAGTAGACTTTAACTATACGTCTCCCTCCACTTTTGGGGCCTGGGTTTCCATGGTCTTTAGCAGCTTTGGCCTCTAAAGATAAAAGACATTTTTGTAAATATGTGGGCCACAAAAAAATTGTCTTTAATTGGAGGTTGTATATAATTGGAGGGGTAATTAATTAGAGGGAGGCCTATATTAAGAATTAAATATTATTTTAAAATTAAATAGGTCCCACTGCTATGTATTCTTAGAACTTCTATGTTTGACTTGATTTATTTTTATTCAATTTTACAAATACAAAATAGAAGAACCTTCTTCATGAAATCACAAACACCTCTAATTGCAGGTTAAAATAATCACAAATAATGATTATATTTGTTTAAATGTTGATATGTGCTACATAATCTTTAAATTATTTTTATGTACAAATACATATAATTAAGATATATAATGAAAAAACTGCTATGATTGAGATTATTTTTTTAATACTATAAAAAAATTACCTGATATAAAACGCCTCCTGCAAATGGACCAATAGTTAATCCAACCCCAGAAAAAATCTCTATATTACCCTGGACAATTGAAAGAACAACATAAACATTTAGACAGGATTAATTATGCTGGTTATTTTTTATGCAATTAGTGTAGATTGTTAAGCAAATGAAAAATTAATATCAACATTATCTTGTTTGTAAAATAATTATAATATTATTAATCATTATTGTAATTTTTCTTTTGTCATAGTTTACTTTTTTTGCTCTATAATTTTCACCAAATTTGCTTTATATTATTTTTGATTATCATTATGGCAAAATATAGTGCAGCAAAATCTCTTCATTGCTAACTTCTGTTTTTTAATATATAGACGGAGCTATGTATCGACCCAGGCTACTAAGGCTAATGACAGGTACGCTTTTTCGTTTAAAGGCTTCTTCCATGAATGGAGTCACCTGTTGGAAGTGTGAATTTCTGTAGGCCAAACCCAGTATCGTTTCGATATTATTTGTACAGGAAATTTACTCATGATAAAATTTATTATCTCTCTTCATTGCAAAGTTTCCAATATATCTCACCATTGTCTGTCCAACAGAGTTTGGAAACTTATTAGCTACTATCGCCATGAATGCTGTCATACTTGAGGCAGCTCCGATGGCTTCTACGCCTCGTATTACAAAAGAGAAAACCAAAAATTGTGTGCCTGGTTCCACTCGGTCTAAACAACTGAAATGCCAATGGCAACAAAGAAGTATAATATAATAATAATAATGGAATAATTTTAAATGGCATGGTGGCATTATTATTATTATTATTATTATTACATAACATTTGCCATCCTGAAACAGAACATGCGACAGCAACTGCAATAAAATACACTTATAAATTATAAACACGCAAAATAAAAAGAGCAAGGTAAGAATATAATAACATTATGATAGGTTTAAAAGGGGGCTAAAGTGAATTAATTCAAACATTAGGTGCACAGAAAGGCAACAAAACACTATAAATCCAAATGTCCTATTTGGTTCACAGTAGAGGAGGTGCCCGCTCCTAAAATACACAAGCAGTGCGGCAGGGAAGCATAATACAATGTAATGTTAAATATTTGTTTATTTTAAATGGTCAGTGATCTCACACTATTCATATTTGTTTCTTATTCTCTGTATGTCTACCGTATTTGATGTTGAAAATTACAGTATATAAGTACGATATGGTAGAAGTACATTTGATAATTTCTTACCCGAATAAAATATTGCAGCCAGAAGAGATAAAGCATCCAGCAATAAACATGAACCTACACCCAATAGTTGGCAGCTGAAAGCATGTAATATAAAGAGAATCATCATCATTATCATCATCATGTTGCTTTTGCAAATCATGCTAGGTTAATACATTTCCAGGGGCGGACGACCTAGTCATATGTCAGATAACTGGGGGTCCAGGCCTGTCCGACGGGTAAGCAAATGCCCACCCTGACGCCCACCCCCACCGGTGGCACCACCGATGAGTATAAATCTTGGTACCTGGTAGGACATGAATGCTTTATGTTAATATCATCATTCAGTCAAAGCTGAATTAGCATGCCTGACAAGGAATTACTATACTCCTAAAGGTGGTAGCACATTGTGTATTTTTGCCTACTGTATGTCATTGACCTGGGGAATCTTGATATTTCAAAACTGGTCATACAAAGTAAAATGCAACTTACAAACTTTCCAATTATTGGGGCTGTAAAAAACTGCACCAAAGCATAAAAGCCAAATATAAGGCCAATCTGGGCGTTTGATGCACCTTGTTTTCCAGCCTGAAAAACAAAATCATGGAATAAAGATGTTATACAGTAGTCGTGAGCAGAGATAGTTAATGGAGTTATTTAGCCTATCTTGAAGCAAATGCATTTTAAAATTGGTAGCCCTGCACTAATATAATGCAGGGGCGGATCGTGAGATGTTCGAGAGACAACAATACCCTAGGGGGATCTGGGCATTCCCCCAAGAAATCTTTTTTTTTAAATGCCCGGAAATAACCTGTTAGGAATTTTTTTGAAATATATTACTTTCCCAAAGGAAGGCCCCACCCCCCACCCTTATTTCACCCCCCATGTTGGATGCAGACAAAACTAAAAGACTACCTCTGCTGGAAAAAATGGAGCTAGTATAGAGAATGTCATTTCGTTCATTAGATTTGTGAGCCCAAATGTAATGAACAATATCTTCTGCTCTCTTGTCATTGAGGTTGATCCCTTGAAATCAATGTCAGTGGAACTGGCATCTTGATTAGCACTCGATTCATCATCTACATTTGTGATACCATTTTGTACGCAGACTATACTTTGACGATCATGCTCATCCTCCCCCTCTTTATTCTCCATCTGTATACTACAAATATTGGAAAAAAATTATATTTGAAATAATAGAATAGTATTAATTGTTTGGATAATACCCTGAATTAATACTGGTGATTTACTAGGCATAGACCAGCAATTTATAATAATAAAATTTATAATAATTGCTTTTAAAGTTATACAACCATAGACTAGCCATCCAGTGAAGTATAGTATTATCTAATATTTCTTTTCAATTCAAAAAAAAAAATCTATAGGCGCGGACACACATGAGCCAATCACTATCCTACAAATGTAAGTGAAAATCCCTTTCACAAGAAATTGGAAGGCAAGCATCAATAACCACCAAGCTATTCCACTCCAATTATAATTAAAGAATCGCACAGTGGGTATTGTATCAAGCCAAACTTACGATAAGCGTCTTATCCCAGTGCACCGTTGTATCTACTCTGTCATCACAGAGTCCAGGCCCAGGGTCTTCCTTGACTGATGATGGCACACTGAGACTAGCTAGGCCTAGTAGGGTAGGCCTACTTTAGGCCCAGTATCTAAGCTAGAGGCCTAGGCCCTACATCTATAAAATTATTGTAATTCCTATCATTTGACTTTATAATAAAGGATATATAACTCTACTTGCTACTTAAAATGATCTGAATACAGTAAATGTTCGAAGTTCGGCACAGCTTTCACACTCCAAACCAAAGTAGGACCACTCTTGTTTACATTTTCATTTAGGCCGTACAAACCGTTGATGGCGCATCAATCCTTATTCCAATATTCACACTGTCCATTCACACAGCACGCTATTCGCACAATTTGGAACAAAACAATGCAGTACTATTACTAACAACTAATTCATTAACAGTATTTTAATAAGCGATATATTATGGACGACGATGATCATAAGGATGAAATGAAGATGAAGAGGGGGAGGATTAGGCCTATAGGGCCTAATGATGAGAATGTGATGACGCGGATGATGATTTTGTGGAGGTTGATGACGATGGATGATGATGATTACATGTCGATGCCAACGACGACGGCGATGTCATATGACATCATTATAATCATTATAAACCTTTTCATAGAGAAAAGGTTTATAATGATTTAAAAAATGACCTTGTTAAATGGGGATTAGATGAATTTTGGAAATCATTTATTACCGGATCGTTAGATTATAAGCATCATTTATTTCTCGATAATCTTAATGACCAAATTGGTAACCATAAATTAGCAGAAATATTTGATAATTATTGTAAGGTATTTCTCGAAGGCGCATGGAAATTAAGATCTGAAATATATAAATCCATGGCCACATTACCACCCGTTACACTTTAATTAGTTTTTGTATTTCCCTTTATTCTGTTAATATGAACCTTTATGATCAGTTAGTTCTAAGCTCTA